AGGCGTCATAACTCTTCTAAATGAAGGCCTTCTGAATCCCAGGACAGAGTTTAAGTGGTTTGAATTGTTCTTTCTGGTTAGCGTTTGTTTAGAGAGTTAGTTTTCTACAGGATAGGGTCGCTAACCCCATGCCCAACCATCCTCCTTTAACCGAGCTTGTGACCGGCAGTAGCCCCCGAAGGGGCTCCAGGCAGAGTTGAGATCAGAGAACCATACATTAAATATTTTATTTGTAAGTTGTACATCTATTGTCTTTGATATCCATCATCATCCTTCCACTTTTCAACTTTAACTTTTTTCCTTAGTTCAGTCTTCTCAACTTTCTATTTGATGAACCTTCCACTTCTGATCGTTTTTACATACTACTTATATTTGTCAATATAGGTAGCACGCACCACACTCTTTCACCATTTAATTAAACTTTTCTCGCAGTCGTCCCGACCACCGTATCGCTGTATTCCTTGTCGCTTTTCGTGGATCGCCCTCATGATGCCGTTGAAACAATACATTTAGTTGACTAGCATTCACGCGCTTCTGCTTCTCGCTCTTTAAAAGATCGTTTAAACTGTTGTTGATTGTATTCCTTGTTTCCAGTCACACGTGGAGGTCCTCATAATACACCCAAACAACAGTCAGTTGATCATTCAGCCCGATAAAGGTTAAATACAACTGCAAATCCATATGACGGTAAACTAACTTCTTCATCTGTTGGTGAAAGATCTCATTGATGTTACCAAAACTTTCTAACTGTGATTGTAAATCTTCTTGCCACTTGCAAGCAAGGTTATTCACTGATCACACGAATTAGATATTTGCAGAAAAGCTTCTGTCATTAGATTTCGTTATCATTCTATTACTACCTAATAACAATTATCTAACAACGTCGGTAAAAAAAACTGAACAGAAACAATCATTAAAATCATTGAAACTGTGCCCTGACAGTTAAAGAGTTTTCATATTCTATGAAAATGACGCTTCATGATGAAAATCGGAACTCCTATAAGGTCACGATGGCGATACTTATTAGGACAACCAGAGAAGCAGTTACTTTAATTGGAGAGAATTCGCCGTGATGGTAGGAGACTGAGAAGGATATTTAGTTAATAGTTTAAATGGAAATATACAATCAGGCTGAGTGAAGCTGAATGGACACGGTTTGGACAAGAGAAGACAAACTTCAGAAGAACTGTTATTGTGTTCTGCTGATAAGCAAGAAACTGCTCTACACACACGAGAAGTTTTCCTGAATGTCTGCAACCAAGCACTATTAACACTTAAAACATGGCAATCTCATTCTTCTAAACTAAGTGGAAGATGATTACAATGGATGTAAAATTGTCTACAGGAAACGACCTGAACATTCTGAAGTGTTCAAAATGGAGAATATCAGTTCACAAGAAACGAGTGAAAATCTGAGAAAGCCAATGTCGTGAACACACTTTTGAACGGGTCAACCGATTTTATTCGTTCATTGAGTATTCGATTTCTCTTGCAAATATCCATCTCAACAATTGTAACACATTTCTATATATGGACTGGACAAAATCATTTGGGTAAACAATGAAACAGTTAGGATAATTAATTTTTATTTACAGTTTGAATATTCGCACTGATGTTCAGCTCGATATTTCACCAGTTACTTTTCTAAAACACACACCTAAACATAAATGAATAATTTTGATTACTATTAAGGAAATTCGATGTCTCGGGTATTTCTATAGGATTCTGACGCATGGACTTTCCATAGATTGTTTCCGTGACACATTTTCCTACATAACAGATATTTGCAAGAGAAATCCCACAGAAAATCAATGAGCGAAGTCGGGTGGGCCGTCCGAAAGTTATAGTCAAACGTGTGTTGACGAAATTGGCTGTCTCGGGCATTTCTATGGGATGTTTCCGGGTCATATTTTCTTTCATAACTTTTGAACGGATGAATATTTTTCAATGGGACGTTCTTCGTGTTACTTATCCAATTGAGTGCTATTGAGTGATGTTTAATATGTACAGGTGCATCGAGATTTGTGCTTGACGATTTACATCGGCTCTTACTCGTCATGTAGTATCCCTATACTACCACTAACTTTCGGTCTGAAAATCTCGCAAATGCGATGAAAATGATCTTGGAGGTCTTGTAATAGTAATCCGACAGTAGACAATAGGTTTTAAGCGTTCTTCAAGCCCTATCGCTTCAGGCTGAGCTATTTCGTTTACTACCCTACATATGTGTGGTATGCTGTATAAGCTACATTGCTATGTAGAGCTGAAGGTTCCATATGACAATGACCATAAATGATGCCAAATGACGTTTCGCTACTTAAATACTTTCTAATGTCCATCTCTGAATACAGTTCGTTGTCGGTTGATCTATATGAAATTTAAAGATAATTGATAGGATATATAGAATTTATCAACAAGATAGATTTACAACCTGGACAGAACCGATTCTCAGTATTGAAATCATAATCGTATCATTTCGTGTTAAACAAAGGACTAAATACTAAACACATATCATGTCTTTCTATTCACTCATTAGTCCAAACATAACATATTCACTGAAAGATATGAAGGTTTTAAACATAAGGAGAAATTATAATCGAAGATGGATGGTGGCTAGCAGTGGAGTGCAGGAAGCACGATTTGTCCTATTTGGGACCGGCAGGCTAGATGTACCTGCATCGCAGATTTGATATTTTGAGTTCTGAAGATGTAGTACGCAACTGTTATTTTCTTTCATAATATCTAGTGGCAGAAGGTTATGAAGATCGAAGACAAGAGAACGAGAACAGAGTGATTGATATGGGAAAGAAGGAACAACGAAATGTGAGGCAATCGACGGAAATTTCGCAAATTTAGGATTTACTGTATGGTTATCAGATACTACTAAGACATTCTGTAATATTGTCTTTGTTATCAGAACCATGACATACACTTGTACAGTAGTGGGTGGTGAGTTGTAAATTGAAATGAATAGTTACCAAGTGTATGTATTTATGTTTATGTTGAAAAAATAAGATTGATGAAATGCAGAAGTAAACCTCGGTGAGAGAATTCAAACAAGCAATACAGACGAATTATAACGACTGTTTCTTTTTTTTCGACCAAAACAGTTTTCCCAGCCAATGCATAGCAATGTGTTATAAGTGCTCAGATAGAAATTTGCAAGACATAATGAGCTTCCTGATTTTTATTGTCATGCTGCCAAACGAGTGTCATTAAGATAAATGAACTCAACGACAAGCCAAGAACAAGAAACTAAATTATACTTGATGAACGAATAACAAATGCCGTACATTAATGGTCAACACACATGTATAGACAGGTTGTACTGCTTGTCTAAATCAACATCCTTCGATCTCTACCAATAAAGTATTCATCCAAGATTAATGTTTCACAGTAAGAGAATAAATGAGGAAAGATTTTGTGATATCGAAGCAAAACTAGTGGTTATGGTTAAAGACAATTTACAAGTATTACTGCCAAAAACTGTCAAGAAATATAGAAATCCTGTTAATTCTTTATTTTAATACTCATTACTCAGTTCGTGATTGTTCTCTAGTGTATGAAAGAAGAGTTCACTAACTATTCCTTTTACAAAATCTCCTAATATATGCAACCTCTTTCGACAAAAAGACATTTCTAATCAGTGGGGCTTCTCACACATAGAAGAGGGGCTTTTACAGTAGAGTTAAACTAGTCAGTCAGTGTTGAGAGTCGACGTAGGAGGAATAATAGGAATTAAAGAGGGAGATTAATTATGAATACAGTGATGTTTAGTGCTCTTAGACGTATGAGAGAGGTCATCACTTTCCGGTTGTCCATACCGTGGAAGGGTTCTTCTGGAGGTAACTGAAAAAGAAATTGGTTTAGAGGTGATCATAGTGACCTGAGAGTGTGACCACAGTGCCCAAGTAACAACAGCTTGAGGTTAGTCACACACGGACGTTTTGTGGGTAATTTTTGTGTTAGCTCCCCACCTGTTGAGACCTTAACGCCGGAGACGGATATCCGTGGGACAAGGTGAAATTTGCATTTCTAGGGTAGGCCTTTCCTAACCACACCCCTCGTTCTGGGAAGGTAGTATCGTTGTTATACTGGTTGTCTGAAGAAAAACACGTTACTGCCATCACACTTCTGTACAGTCTGTAGTATGACTTCGCCTTCGGACCTTGAGTTTTCTGCTTTTGGTCTTACCGGTCTTCAACCGATCTATCTGGCGTGATAGGTGTTATAATTCTCTCTTATTACAACCCAGCTATTCCTATTACCTAGTATTCTTGGACACCAATTCACTCGACAAGTCCCCAAATCAGAACACGGCTGAACAGGAAAGATTATATTCCAAATAACAAGGTTAGATGGAAGTAAGAAGCACACTAGGAAAAACATTAGTATATTTATAGTTTTGCTATATGAGAAGATTCTAAAGTATTCTAGAGTATTCTCCAAGTATCGACTACCGCTGACTGGCTAATTCTTATCCAATCAGCATGCGCCAAAGTAATCATGCATTAAGCATGCTTTAATCCAATCTATGTTCCAACAACAGTAGGACATTGAAGAACGATTGTTTCAGCCAATATAGCTCGATTGATTCATTACAATAGGCAAGCCCAACCACCATATCCAGATAGCAACAACGATCGGGAGAGTTAAACTAGGAAAGTTGTGTTAAACTCCAGTACTCAAACTTATGATCCCAATTACAACAACAAAAAACGAGTGATATTTGAATAAATATTGACTTTTATTAACAAACATCACAACATTGTACAATAAGTTGGATCCAATCGACTACTAAACCAACATGAAAATAATAGACAGACACCTATTGATGTATTCTACATTCATAAGTACATATCACAATACAATATAATAAACTAATTAATGATATACATGAATAAATATAGAGGTAGAATAAAGAGATAAAATTGTAAGAAGTAAAACTTTATACAACAGTGTAATGAATGTTTAAAAGAAAAGAATTTACATTATCATGTTTAAACCCATTCTTTAGGATTTTTAAGCACCTCAATGAGTGATTGATTACGTGGATCCTGTGAATTGTCATAACAATAGTTCCATTGCTAAAATAACAATAATGATAATGTTAGGAATAAAGAAAGAGAAGACTTAGAATCAACGAAGGAAGAGGAAGAAAACATTCTTTAATGCTCTGAACAGTTATTTACTCCTTATTTTTTAGCCCTCAAATGCCCTGGTACGGTCGAGAGTGGGGAGAGTCAGCTCTCGATTTCGAAATGCTTTCAAATGGCAACGTGTATACAACCACTGACAGGGAAGTCCTACTCACTGTTTTCTCGCCACTGGGTGATTTTTACGAAATTTAGAGAATGAAAAGTGAATGTCCGGCTCTTTACCCGGGTTGGTGGATATGGAGGATCCACCTACGGGAGTTGGAAAACCCTCATTCCAAACTAATGATGCACATGGGGTTCAGCATCCTAAGGAAACAAATGGCGTATGAACCAATCGCTGTTCACTGGCTACCATTGGACTGCATCTCCTGACGTTGTTCCCCCTGCCTTGTGTATTAGATTTTTAGGTCGAAGGCTCCAGGTATGGTCCTCCAAGGAAACTACCTGCTTCGGTCTGCGCACTCGGGCAGTATCACAGCCCACAACACAAGTCAAGCGACTTATGTGGCGCATATCTAGTTAGTGCCTACTTGTATAACTGTTTGCGTTTAAATAAATAAAAAACAAAGTGCTCCTTATTTTAGAACTGTTCATCGACATACATCTATGGATTACTACTCATCACAGAAATATGTTCAGGATATTTGTCTCACCTCACATTGAGGGTGATACACTTTTTAGGTCGTGTGGTTAGCAGCATTTCCAATTGTAGTCAATCTTTGAATGCATACTAGCTAGTGATAAGTTTCAAACTAAAACATGTTTTGCTTCGTCTACGATACTCAGGGCAAGTTCAGAAACTTTGTTATTCCGTACATTTGTTCATACGATCAACCGGTCACGGAAATATTCACATTTTAACTGTTCATCATACATAGCCACCATCAAACTGACAATGATACAGGGCACCATCATGATTCTCAACTTGGTTGCTATTACGTCTCCTTGCTAGCTACTTAATTGGGAACAATGCTCCTGATGGCTTTTCATCCAACCACTCGCAGCTACTGAAAACACAGGAGAAAACCAATGGTTTGCCCCCGCTTTAACCGATGATAATACGGAGAAAAACGTGCAGGTTTTTATATAATTATGTAGAATGTAATTCCAAACAGACTATTTAGAATATGTTTATTTATTTATTTATTTAAACACATAAACATTAACACAAGGAGGCACCAAATAGATCATTCGACTTGTGTGACGGCTGGGATACTGCCCGGGTGCCCAGACCGAAGCAGGTGGTTTTCTCAGGGGGCCACTACCTGAGCCTTTGACCTAAAGGTCTAACCCACAAGGCAGTGGAGCATCGCAAGGAGATGCAGTCCCATGAAAGCCGGTAACCAACAATTGGTTCATACGCCATTTGTTCCCGCATGATACTGGAGTCCATGTGCACCATTGGTTTGGAATCGGGTTAAATCGTCGGGCATTCGCCTTTCATCCTCTCGATTTCGCAAACAAAACCCCCGCCACGAGAAGGCAGTGAGTAGGACTTCCCTGGCAGAGGCTGTATACGCTTGGCCGTGTGAGAGCATTTCGAGAGGGAGGGAGGGCCCACCCCACTCTCGGCCATACCAGGGCATTTGGGGACATTTAGAATATGAGTCTCATAACACCTAATTCAACTATATGAGCGCATTTTAAATGCTAGAACTACTCTATAACACTGTTAGTGTCCTCCTAGGATAATCGTCAAGAGACAACAGTCTGTAATGTACAAAGTACAAATTGGAAGAGACATGTGGATTAGATGAGAACAAATAATAAATGCAATTACCCTTGGACGTACATCTTGATACCATTGAAATGAAGACGAACAAATTAACAACCCGCCAGGAAATCACATCCGAGAGGAGACATCTTTTATCACAAGGATGGGAAAATGTGTCCAGTGAAGCGTCTATAACTCAATCCTCGAAAATTCCGGCATAATTAAATTCGAGAAAAGTGTTGGGAAACATATAAAAGAACTCATACTAAATCCCGATTGAAATAAATTGGTTAACAAACGTCTACTGATTAACCAGTGTCAATATATATCCCAGACCTATAAGAGCACAATTACATACCGAACTACTCAGCGATAACATGTTTGACTGAAACAGTGAGTGATGTGCGTAAGAAACTCGCTATACTGATGAGCGAAAAAAGCACCCAAACACCTGAAATTCTATATGATATCCATTAAATGTTATACGCACTACTACTAATACTACTACTTATCAGCAGAATGTGTCTACTTACAAAACATGTGTCATTCAACTTCTTAATAAAAGTAGACTTATCCTCCCTCTCAATGAGTAGTATACCGACTAGTAGAAAACTAACTATTCAATATTAAACTATATGTACTTTGATCTGGAGTCATTGGTCAAGCCTAATGATAATAAACGTCAAAATCACATGAAAATAGTAAATTAACTTCCAACTTACAGCATAACGTGGTAAAGACATTAAAATACTTTCAATACGAGCTTCTGGAGTGGCTAGACCAAATTTAGTGCCACGATCATAGATTAAATTGAATTCAACATAACGTCCACGTCTTACCAACTGCCATTCACTGGCAAATAAAAGGTAAGAAGATATAAGTAAGGAACAATCAATAAACTTACCGGTAGAATAAATAACACACACAAACATGTAATGAA